AACAAGTTGCGCATTGAGGGTGCCAAAAGAGCTAAGCCAAGAAACAAGTGCTTTGGAAAACCATGCCTCTGCGCTGGAAGGAGGACACAAAAAGTTGACCAAGGCATCAAGCAGCTGGCCCTTGGTGCGCTGCTGGCCAGAAGCGGGGTCCCTCTTCTGCACGCCAAGGCCGGCTCCAAAGGAGCGAAGCCTCTCCGCCGCCATGGAGCCGTCCAGCTCGGCCCGGAGCCAGTCAGACCCCCGTAGAGCTGCTTCGGCTCGCAGACGCTCTGCGTCAGGAAGGCCATCCCCAGAACTCGCAGCAGCTGTGGAAGACGAAGTTGCCTGCGCTCTTACAACATAGTTCTTACGTGTTTTAAAAAGCCATGCCTCTGCTCTGGAAGAAGGCGAACGCACAAAAGAATAAGGCGAACGCTCCAAAGCCTCTTACATTCAGGGAAACGCTGTTGACAAAAACATTCTTTTGAGCAAGCCCTCGTCTGTTCGCGCAAACACTGCTGACAAGAAACACATTCTTCACAATCCCCGGGAGAAAAGGTAAGCAACCGTCAACAAAAACAAGCGCTTTTCCTCTGTTCGCGCGAACACTGTTGACAAGAAACAAGTGCTTTGGAAAACCATGCCTCTGCGCTGGAAGGAGGACACAGAGATTCGACCAAGACAGCAAGCAGCTGGCCCTTGGTGCGCTGCTGGCCAGACGTGGGGCCCTCTGCGAAACGCCTAGGCCGGCTCCAAAGGAGCGAAGCCTTGCCGCCGTCATGGAGCCATCCAGCTCGGCCCGGAGCCAGTCAGAACCTCGTGCTTCTGCTTCGGCTCGCAAGTGCTGTGCATCGGGAAGACCATGCCCAGAACTCGCTACAGCTGTCGAAGACGAAGTGGCCTGCGCTCTTATCACATAGTTCTTGAACACGCACAAAAGAGTAAGGCGACCAGCCTCTTACATTCAGGGAAACACTGTTGACAAAAACATTCTTTCGAGCAAGCCCTCCTCTGTCCGCTACGCGCGCTGAAAGACACGCTCCGGTATCTCAAGGCTTGTCGTGAACAAGTGCCAAAAGAGCTAAGCAAGAAAACTAAACTTGTGGGGTCTACTTGTAACTGCGAAACCATGCCTCTGCGTCAGGTCGCGAACGTAGAGCTGCAACCACGGCTTCAAGCAGCTGGCTCTTGGAAAGCCGACTACCAGATGCGGGATCCCTCTGCTGCACGCCGAGGCCAGCTGCGAAGGCACGAAGCTTGTCCAGCTTCATCGAGCCATCCAGCTCAGCATGGAGCCAGTCTTGACCATGTACTGCTGCTTCAGCCCGTAAATGCTCAGCATCAGGAAGAGCATCCAAGGGATTCGCAGCCTGCTGCGCGCGCTGAAAGACACACGGTGGAAACCAACAGCGCAAGCCAAAAGTGGTAATTCCAAGAAACCAAGAGGGGTATGCGAAACAATCGTGCGCTCTCGCATGCCAACGTCCAGCCTGCGCACGTCGCTGGCGACCAGAATGCGACATGGCAACACGACACGTCGGAAATACCCGCCAGCGCCGCGCGACTCTGATATCTTCTGGCCACCCGCTGTGTGTAACTGCTTTGACAAGATTGGTGCGCCAAGGAAACGAATCCGCACTTCGGAAGATGCGATCTGAGCGATGACACCTTCTACAGTACTAACACGGAGGACTGCCTTGAGCATGAATGCACGTGCAAGCAGCAATGACAAGCGACAGCAACCTCATGGAGCACCCCTCCAAAAAATGAAGCATAACACCAACACAAAGAAGCCGTGTCGCCCTAATCAACTGTCGCCGCAAACATTCTCTGGGCAAGCTCCGCTACTGAGACACTCATGACATCCAAGCTTCGGCTACTATTGCTCTTGTCAGCTGCCTATCACTCCAAAATCCAACTGCGCATGTTTATTTTACAAGCCAATTACAAAAGCCAACTGCCCAATCTCACTTCACAAGCCAATGACAACTGCCAACTGCCCAATCTCACTTCACAAGCCAAATGCACTGTCCCAAAACACAAGCCAAATTTTCGAGTGTTACTTCACTATCCTAAAGCGCAAGCTAACTTCTCGGGCGTTTCTTCGGCATCGTAAAGCGCAAGTATTTTTTTCAGGCGTTACATTGCAAGCCGACTTTTCCTTTTCTACCTTCTCTTCTCGATTCTGAGTTCTTTCTTCTTTTTCCGGCGGAGCTGGGGAGACGCTCTCCGCGCCGAGATAGGTCCGCAAGTGCTTTGTGCAAGTGCTCTGTGCAAGTTGCTCTGCGCAAGTTGCTCTGCGCAAGTTGCTCTGAGCAAGTGCTGCCGGAGCTGTGGGAATGTACTTCGCGTACTATTTTTTTGTACTTAAAAGTTGTGATTTTCCAGCCGGAGCTGCGGGAGTGTGCTCCGCGTACTACGTTTGTACTTAAAAGTTGCGATTTTCCAGCCGGAGCTGCGGGAATGTGCTCCGCGTACTATGTTTGTACTTAAAAGTTGCGATTTTCCAGCCGGAGCTGCGGGAGCACGCTCCGCATACTACGTCTGTACTTAAAAGTTGCGATTTGCCAGCCGGAGCTGCAGGAGCACGCTCCGCGTACTACGTCTGTACTTAAAAGTTGCGATTTGCCAGCCGGAGCTGCAGGAGCACGCTCCGCGTACTACGTTTGTACTTAAAAGCTGCGATTTTCAAGCCGGAGCTGCCGCGGACCAGGGGGGAATCGAACCCGAGACCGCGGGATTGCGAAAGCAGGCGCGCAAACCACGAGACAACTTCCAAAGGCCGTTTCGCGAGCAAGAAAATCGCACGGCGCCACAGCGAGAGCGCTTCGACACGCGATCCGACACGCACGATCTCCGCAGAGGGCTCGCCGCGACCAAGACAAATTCGCACGGCGCCACAGCGAGAGCGCTTCGACGCGCAGGATCTCCGCAGAGGGTTCGCCAAGGTCAAGACAAATTCGCACGGCGCCACAGCGAGAGCGCTTCGACACGCACGATCTCCGCAGAGGGTTCGCCAAGGTCAAGACAAATTCGCACGGCGCCACAGCGAGAGCGCTTCGACACGCACGATCTCCGCAGAGGGTTCGCCGCGACCAAGACAGAATTCGCGCGGCGCCACAGCGAGAGCGCTTCGACACGCACGATCTCCGCAGAGGGTTCGCCGCGCTCAAGACAAATTCGCACGGCGCCACAGCGAGAGCGCTTCGACACGCACGATCTCCGCAGAGGGTACGTTTCGTAAGCTCCCGTCGGGCCTACCCCCGCCATAAAAAGAAGAAGAATTAAGAGTCGAGATGTGAAGGTAGAAAAGAAAAGTTAGCTTGTGTCTTTAGGATAATGAGATAACACCCGAAAAGTCGATATGAAGGTAGAGAAGAAAAGTTAGCTTGTGTTTTTAGGATAATGAGATAACACCCGAAAAGTTGACATGAGAAGTTGGCTGGTGAAGTAACTCTCGAAAAGCTGGCATGAGAAGTTGGCAGGTGAAGTAACTCTCGAAAAGTTGGCATGAGAAGTTGGCAGGTGAAGTAACTCTCGAAAAGTTGGCATGAGAAGTTGGCAGATGAAATAACTCTCGAAAAGTTGGCAAGAGAAGTTGGCAGGTGAAGTAACTCTCGAGAAGTTGGCATGAGAAGTTGGCAGGTGAAGTTGGCAGCCGCTTTTAGAAGAAGAACCCTTCGCAATGCTTCCGGGAAAAAACTGGGGAACAGCTGGTTTTTGAAAAGAACGATGGTTGAAAAGAATGGGGAATCAAGCCCTAGAGTGAAGGGTTTATTTCAGGGGCCAACTGTGAACTGCGTCGAGCGGGTGCTCGGAGCATCCCTATCATACTTCTAAGGGGAAGGCAAAAGCCTCAAGTCTTCACGGTTTAGCACATGTGACTCTGGGTCAAAACCAATGGTACCATTTTGGGGTAGGTGCACCACCCATTTTAGAACCTATTTTAGTGGCTGGATTGAATCGGATGTTCACTGGGGGTACGATTTGGATTTTGACCCATGGCCATGTGGCTTCTTGGAAAAAATGCAGACGGTTTAAATGCACAGTTTCCATTGGTGAGAAATACATTGGAGATATGAGAGCCCCTGTTGCAGTTGACATAAAGATGGAGCATATCATGCCCCGCCTTGGTGAATGATTCCATCCCTTGGTGAAATATAGCGACCTCACACGACTGAATTCACCCCTTAAATGGTGGTTTATGTGGGGAATAGCCCCCCAACCACCGCAAGTTTCAGCTTGGTGAAATATTATAATTCACCCAGATCCCTGAGAGTGTCACGCCCCTCATCCATAGCACCCCCAAAAAACCAACCAAGGGGCCCGGGAGATGTGAAGTGGGGGCTGCTTCCCTTGAACCTGTCACTTGGGGTGACTTTGAGAATACCCAAAACACACCGATCCCAGTTGTGGTCGGTTTTAGGTGTTTTTTTTGCGGGGGTGTGATTTGTGCCAGGGGGTGACATTTGAAGGAAATAAAGAAGCAGGCACCTTGTGATGGCGGCGCGGCCGGGAGCAGCTGAAAGACTGCGGGACTTACTAACACCAATCTGCCCAGTGCTCGTTAGGCAGTGGGTTCCTGGACAAAAAAAGGTAAATCGGGGAGAA